GATGTTATGTTTTATTTGGAAAATATATGTAAAAACCAATTAAAATATTATTATTTTTTTTAAAAAGAGTTCCTTATAGGAAAGTTGGGATATAAATGTTTTAATAATGACAGCTGCTTCCACCATGGGGAAATGAAGAGTTAAAATATGACTTTCTGTTGGATTTTCCTCATAAATAAAGCAATATAATAAACTAAAGAACTGATAAGTCTGAAAAGAGGGACATCCAAAGAGAACCACCATTACAGTTGCTATTTTTTAAAATCCAGCATAGGTAATTGAATCTATTTTTTTTTAATGAATTCCCAGTGGCTCCTTTTATTGATTCGTCTCTATGAATAACTGAATAATAACATTTTCTTCTGGTGCTTAAATTGCTGTAGAATTTGTATCCTACGCTGACACACCTAAACAGCAATTCCAATAATTGCTTTTTTGCCAATGATCATACAATTTGCGTATTTATGCTGAGTTTTAATAAATCAGGAAGAAAACAGTTGGCAATTAATGTATAGATGGCACAGGAGAGTTTTTTTAAAGAACTACATTCTATTCATATTATGACAAAACCACATCCAAATAGATAGTTATCTTTGTCAAAGTCTCAAAATTCACAAAAAGCAAATGAATGAGGTACATTAGTAATTTGAACTTTGCTGTAACTGTATAGCAATTTAAAGTATCATAACAGGGATCTATAGTGTTAAGCAAGGATAGCCAATGCGAGCACTTGAGTTAATGTTGGACTACAACTCACAGCATCCCCAGTCAGGGATGACAGGTGTTGCGCGTCAAGGTCCCCCAGGACCCCCCCCCAATAACTCACACTTCACACATCAATTTTGGTTTGGGTTTTTGGCACGATTTTGGCCACAACTTTATTTAAATACACACATGTGAGTGGTTGCTTAGGCATTGGTTCCAACTATCTGTCCTTGCGCAGGGACAGAACTGACCTCCGGATTCCAGCGGAAGCCAGTGAGGGAAACAATTTTGGGGAGAAAATGAAGCTGGGCCTCAGTCCCTCACTTCTCACCCGCATGCTCCTGGTGGCATGCACAGCCCAAGTCCGATGCCAAGGACAAGGACGAAAAGAATGGCAATCCCCTGGATTCCTTTAACGGAATTCCCTTTCCGCACCACCATTGGAGGGGTAGGCACTTACCCCTCCACCAACCAATTTGAACCAATGCCTAACCACAACATTACAAGTTGTGACGATTTGCTACGCAGTAGGCAAAAACCAAATGGCACCAGCCAATCAGCCAAATGGACAAAATGCCTACCAGGCCCCTGCCCCAAGGCAGATGACCCCATGACAGGCATAGCAAGGTCAGAGGACAACGAACCCCCCTCCCTTTTCAGGGAGGGTGGGCGGGTGATCTGGTGCACGCAGCCCAAGAGAAGGCCCCAGGCTGCGAGGCCTGTATTCAAGACCTCTGACCCCACCCACACTTTAGCAACATAACATTCTCCCCAGCAACACTCCTTGCCCAATCACAGCATGTGGCCAATTTGCCCAACAACAGTGGGGTTGCCTTTTTGGCCCCCACCGCAACATGTGCTCTCTATTATGGAGAGCACGCTTTGTAGGACAGCAGCATCTGGAGGCCACTGCATTGGCTACCCCTGCCAAAAAGCACTCAGGATTATATGGTGGTGATGAAAGCTCTAGCCAGTGGTGGCTGGTGCTTACTGGGGTGGACCAGCAAGTACCGACAAAGCCAACAACAAGCAGAACAAACTAGTTATTTTCTTGTCCCTATCCTCTTCCCTGATCAGTTCTACAAAGGCAACTCAGAGACTAAGGATGAGGAAGCTGACAGACAGTGGCAACCTCTGGATAGGTTGTAAGTAAGAAGGCAGACAGGTAGGGGCAGGCTGAGGTTGTTGGGGAGACAACTGTCAGTGTTCTTGCAATAACTGGATGAAGTGTTACGATATTATAAATGAGTTCCTTCGCATTAAGAGAGGAACTGAAGCCAGTGTTACCAGAACTACTTATTACAGCCATTTTGGACTGCCTCATATACTAGAAATGTAAAACATTTTTGCCTGGGGAAATTACTTACTTAAGAAATACTATGGAGAAAATGAATGGATGAATTGGTCAATATATGGTCCATGCCGCTTTCCCATGTGTTCTGTTCTTTTCCAGTGTTAATGTGATTTTAAATAAATGCTTATTTTTTTTATAAAAAAAACTGCATCGAAAGTATTTACATACATATTTTGGAGTGTGTTCCCCCACCTTTTTAAGTACGTTTGGTTATTTATTTATTTATTTATTGCACTAAGAACTGTGTCACAAGATCTGGAGCAGCATAAAATCTGACAGGCAGCTATGTTTCAATGCTCACATTAGCCTAGCAGGCAGGGGATCAGGTCAGTTCATATCACGATTCGCAAATACTGAATTCCTCAAGCTTCCCTACTAAGAACTACAGGCCAACAGCACTCTATGTATTGTTAGAAGTGACATTTTACTCTGACACGAGCCCATTGTTATAATTACGACCTATTGCTGAATGGCTCGTTTTGCCTAGGATATGTCAACATGAGAGCAAGGCATTAAAGGAAATAAGATGAGTACACATTTTTAAATTTTTTTTGCAAGGCTGGGCTGACATTAGGAGTGGGGGGTCTCGGAGCCAGACTTCTCATCAGTTTCCCTTTCTTTGATGTTACCTGCAGTGACTTCAGTGCTCATTGTCGTGTGCAGAGTCTCCATTTCTGCCTCTAGAATAACAATCTGTACATTGGGAGTTGCTTTATGCCAGGTCAAACCACTGGTCACTTTTGGCTCAGTATTGTCTACATTGGCTAGCACTGGCTCTGCCACTGCCAGCTCAATGGTCCATCTAGTTCAGTACTGTCTACACGGATTGACAGCATCTCTCTAGGATTTCAGGCAGGGAGTGCCTCCCATCTCTAACTGGAGACGCCGGGGATTGAACCTGGGACCTTCTAAGCAAAAAGCAGATGCTCTGCCACAGAATCATAGCCCATCTGGGAGCTGCAGTTTGTTAAAGGTGCTGAGAGTTGTTAGGAGACCCCTTTTCCTGTCCCAGAGCTACAATTCCTAGAGTTCCCTGAGAAGATGGATTGATTATTAAACCACTCTGAGGTCTCCTCTTAGCATGCTTAATGAATGAGAGCTCCCACGATTCATTGAGGAACATCAAGACTGTTTAAACTGGTAACATACTGCTTTAAACGTATGGTGTTAATGTGGCCTAGGTGGTGCTGGGCAAAGAGATATTTGGTAAGAGAGCCACTGCTGGTTGGTACAGTGGTACCTCGGGTTACAAACACTTTGGGTTACAAACTCCGCTAACCCGGAAGTAGTACCTTGGGTTGAGAACTTTGCCGCAGGATGAGAATGGAAATCGCACGGCGGCAATGGGAGGCCCCGTTAGTGAAAGCACACCTCAGGTTAAGAACGGTTTCAGGTTAAGAACGGACCTCAGGAATTAATTAAGTTTGTAACCCAAGGTACCACTGTATAAGCAATGCTGCATTTAGGATCAGTATAGGACCAGTGATTTGACTCAGTGTCATCTGACTCCTGTGTTCTTAAATGTGACATTGATGGATGCATTTGTTTATTCATGTGTCTATCCCATTCACATGTAATGCCTAGCCAAGAAAGAGGGCAATTTTCTTCCCTGAAGAAAAAGGGAAAGGTGATTGGAACTGAACCCTCCGTTTCATCTAAACATGTCTTTCATCCCAGATAGAGAAGGATAGATCTGTGCATAAATCATTTCTCTTATTCCTGGATTGATAATGTTTCTATTTTTTCCAAAAACAAGACAAAACAAAAAACCTGCCCAAAAACATAGAATCATAGAATCTTTGAGTTGGAATGGACCCCAACAGTCATCTAGTCCAACCCCCTGCAGTGCAGGAATCTCAGCTAAAGCATCCATGACAGATGGCCATCCAACCTCTGCTCAGAAACCTCCAAGGAGGGAGTCCACCACCTCTTGTGGGAATCTGTTCCACTGCTGAACAACTTTTATTCTTAGAAAGTTTTTCTGTACGTTTAGTTGGACTCTTTCTTACAACTTGAAGTCATTGGTTCAAGCCCTACCCTCCAGAGCAGGAGAAAACAAGCATGCTTCCTCCTCCAATTGACAGCCCTTAAGATATTTGAAGATGGCCATCATATCTCCTCTCAGTCTCTTCTTTTCCAGGCTAAACATACCCAACTCCTTCAACCGCTCCTCATAAGGCTTGGTTTCCAGACCTGTGATCATCTTGGTTGCTCTCCTCTGCACACATTCCAGCTTGTCAACATCTTTCTTAAATTGTGGTGCCCAGAATTGGACACAGTATTCCAAGTGTGGTCTGACTAAAGCAGAATAGAGTGGTACTATGAATTAATTAGGGACATAGGTGGTGCTGTGGTCTAAACAACAGAGCCTAGGGCTTGCTGATCAGAAGGTTGGCGGTTCGAATCCCCGTGATGGGGTGAGCTCCCATTGCTCAGTCCCTGCTCCTGCCAATCTAGCAGTTCGAAAGCACGTCAAAGTGCAAGTAGATAAATAGGTACCGCTCCGGTGGGAAGGTAAATGGTGTTTCTGTGCGCTGCTCTGGTTTGCCAGAAGCGGCTTAGTCATGCTGGCCACATGACCCGGAAGCTGTACACTGGCTCCCTTGGCCGGTAAAGCGAGATGAGCGCCGCAACACCAGAGTCATCTGCGACTGGACCTAACGGTCAGGGGTCCCTTTACCTTTATGAATTAACTAAAAAGGATTTAAATATATAGATCACTTTCATCCAAGTCCAGGTCACTTTTAGTATCATGGCAGAGGGTAGTGAGGGCCTGTTCTTTCTTCCTTTCTACTGTGTCTTTCAGGTACTAAGTCAAATATTGTCGCACACATCTCTCTCTCTGTATATATTATGTACAGATTGTTATTCTCGAGGCAGAAAAAGCTCAACAACTTTGGGGGTGTTTTTATACCTACCTTCATCTGAAGATGAAGTAGTTGCTTGGGAGAGCTCAGTCAACAAAGCATGAGACTCTTAATTCCAGGGTTGTGGGTTTGAGCCCCACCTTAAGCAAAATATTCCTGCATTACAAGGGGTTGGACTGGATGACTCTCATGGCCCTTCCAACTCTGTGACTCTGTGATCACAGGGTGGTTCCCAATATAAAAATACAAAACAAAAACACAAAATAAAATAATAATAAAACAAAACAAAACAATAACACCCCTCCCACAGACATATCATGTTAGTGGTGTGGGTTCTGCACTGGCTGCCTATTAGCTATTGACCCAGTTTTAAGGTCCTGCTACTTACATAGAAAGCCCAAAATAACTCTTGACCAGGTTACCTGAAAAACTGTCTTCTGCTATCTGGTAAGGCCACTACAATCAGCTGATGGAACCTAATTCGTTTTGCCAAGGCCTGATCATTATCAGCTTGTGGTAACATAGAGAAGGGATCTTTCACTGATGGCAGCTAGTCTTGTTGAACACCCTCCCTACTGGAAAATGAGAGGCCCTATCTAAGTTGGCATTTGGCTGGCTCCTATAGACCTGTTTAGGCAAGAATTCCCCTGAACTTCTGGTTATACTGTGTTAACTCCCCCCCCCCCCACTGTTTAATTCTTATGTCTTTTAACTGTCTGTCTTTTAATTAAGGATGTTTTATATGATCTCAGTGCTATAAAAAGGGGTGTCAAAACTCACCATGAACTTCTCCCTTGCTCTCTTAGAATGGGAATGGCATCCACATGAGAGGTTCTAGAACTGAGTTCTGGCTGAAAAAAAGCCCTGATTGATCTTGTAAGTTGTAAACTGCTTAGGAGCCATTTGGGCAGGTAATCAATATCTGAGGAGGATGATATGTGCAGCCCACATCAGTGATGGACCCTGGCATCAGTGATGGACCCTGAAGCAGCACTGTGGCATCAACAGAGGATGAGGGAAGCTGTGTGCTGCTGGTGGTGTGACAGATCTCAGGTGACTGCTTAGCCATTTAACAGAGAACTTCAAGAGGAAAACCATTTTGGTGCCCATTTAGGAATAAATGAATAGTGTGAATCTCAAGGGAATGTTGGGGGACTGCCAAGTCTGAATGTTATTTTGATGCCTGATATGAAAACCACCAACTCAGCCTGGCTTTGCGTGCTTGAGTTCTAACTGAGATAGTAACCAAGGTTTTCAATACCTTCATCAAGGCAAGGGGAGAAGGAGAGTGAAGGATTTGAAATATGAAACTGGAGGAAGCAACAGATGCACATCTGTTTGCTTACCTGCTTGTTATTAAGAAGATTGGATTTTATCAGAGAAGGGAAATTAATGAATGAATTAAATCAGCATAACTATTGACTTTTGATCTATCCTTGTATTTGACCTTTTGATCCTGCTTGTTTTATACAAAAAGAAAATGTTTTAAAATAAAAGGCTAAAGTAAAGAGAACAGCCCCCATTCTTCTTTTCCTGGGCAATGCTATTTATTTCTGTTCTACTCACTTGAGATTATAGCTTCCTCACTAGCGAAACTGGTAGCTGTTAATGTTGCATACTCTCCAACTTCTAGGAAAAGGTTGTCACTCAGGTAAGAGGTCTTGGCCTTTCACAGTGGCCCTGTGGGCGTACAGATGTGCTTGCCTCCATCATGTGTCATTTGGCCTTAGATCAACACAACATGATTAAATCAAGGAATGCAATTTTAAAGTTAAATGTTCACTAGCTCAGATGTTCATCAGAGTTTTATGTCTTTGGTCTATCTTTCAGTCTGTATCTATGCAATCCATGTTCCCGTTCTTAAGCAAGCTTAGTTTAAAAGGAAGAACATTTGAGTTCTTAGGCACAGTTAGTTAAGGAAATTTTACTTTCCCATCTCTCTGTATCTTGATTCCAGGTCCAGTCAGGTGAAGCAGCAGAAACCTTCCTTTCCATTCCAATACCCATGCCTAATCTCTCCTCAGCAGGGACTTTAATTTTAAATTTCGTATAAGAACTAGTTCAAGATTAGAGGAAACTGTATATTCAGTTAGGCTGAATGTGTAAAGTAAAATGGAATTTATAATGTGGTCTTACTTTTCCCTTAAGCACAATTATGAGACCAATGAACCAGCATTTTCATAGAAGGCTTCAAGTGTGTGCTTATTGATTTATTTCAAGGATGTATAGGCCACATTTCAAAACAAATGTTTTTTCAAGGCCTTTTATAGTCAGTATCATAAAAAACCCTTTAAAACAGTATCTGTAAATATTCTCCACTAGCTGAGGACTGAAGTTCAGTGGTAGAGCATCTGCTTTGTGTACAGAAAATCCCAGGTTCAATCCCCAACAGCTCCAGCTAGGGCTAGGAGAGGCACCTGTCTGAAACGCTGGAGAGCTTCTGGCAAACAGTGTAGGCAGGACTGAGCTAAATGGACCAATGGCCTGATCTGGTATAAGGCAGCTTCCAAGATTCCTATGCAACCATCTTTAAAGGAGTAGATTTAATAAACATCTCATGCAGTATGCTTCCTTGCCAGGCTTGGATCTCTATTGCCTGCTTAATCTCTATTGGCATAGTGTTCCACAATACTAGCCTGATGAAACTTAAGGCTTTATTTCTTGGTGTTATCAAATGAGTCTTGCCAACTTGGGTAACACCAGTAGTGCTTCTGCAGATGATCTCAGTGATCGAGCTGGGATACAAGGGCTGAGGAAATCTCTGAGCTACCCTGGACCTAAGTTGTACAAGGCTTTGTAATTAATACAAGGACTTTGAGCCTGACTCGGTGGAAGATGCGAAGCCATTGCACCTGTTTTAATCATGGTGTCACATGTTGTCAGCCAGTCTGGCCACTGCATTCTGCTGCATCTTCCAGAGAGAATTGCTCTTTTTCAGACCATCTCTGCCCATTGTTTTTGTTGTTTGGGGGAATACACTTCCTTTACATCTATTTTATTTTATTGCAATAGTTATTTGTGTTTCCAATTCTTGCTGTTATCTCATGAGATGTTATTCCACCCAGTTTTCTGTCCTATGTAGTTGAATTATTGCCATTTCCTCTGTGCACCTTGCTCTTGGCTTGCACTTCAGTCTTCTCTATTTCTACCTTCTTTCCTCACATCTGGACATTCCTTTACATTGGTACTGCACAATGCAACTAATTGGTTTTGACAACTATACCTGTAAGGTGAACAGCTATTCTTACCATTTGACAGATGAGTAAAACTAAGGAACAAAGATTATGCATCTTAACAAGACCACTGAGGAATTTGCTGTTGGTACCCAAACACAGTGATTCTTAACACATTAGAGTTCCTCACTGGTATCTCTCCCTTCATTACTGTGGCTTAGCAAAGGAAAGTAGGGCTAACAAAGAATGCCAAATACACTGTGCTGCTCACAACAGCTTCCTCCAATTTTCCAGTGCTCTGAGCTGCTTTGAAAAGGCTAATTAGGTCCCACCAACACCCCACAAAATGGACAAAACTGCACCTTAAGAACACTCCAGGAATTCAACATGGAAACCAACAAGGAAAAAATAGCTAACTGGAAACATTTGCTTATTATTTTGAGGCAGAAAAACTAGTAGAAAATGTAAATTGAACTTGTTGCTAATAGAGGTTAAAGCTCAGCGAACAATGGAAAAACCAAAGTATAATGAAGTTTAAAAATTAGTTGCATAAGGTCCAGTTTGATCTGTAAAGCATTTTTGCACTTCTGTATGAGGCTCATATTTCCCAGGAAATCCAGATTGGGGGGGGGGGGGGTTCTTAGCTTTCCATTTTTGGAGAAACAAATTCATCTGAGATCAGCAGTGGAACAGGATTGGGATATCATAAAGCAGGGGCTGGTAAACCTTTCTAGCCCAGCAGACCAAATTGTTATCTCCCTACTGCTAAGGGCCAACTTTGGCAGATATCAATCACTTCTATATTTTTATTTACTTATTAAAAACACATTTATTCAAAAGTTAACACTTCAGCTTTGTCCACCGTTTGTCCTTTCTCACAGTTACACAGATTTTAAAAGCTTTACCTTTTTTCCCTTGAACTTTTTGTCCACTCATGTTCACCCTTCCAAAACATCTCAATGTTCCCCATTGCATTTTGTACACTGCTGTAAACCACCCTGGGATCATGTTGACATGATGAAGGGTGGTCTACAAATTTGGTGGAACCAAAGTACAAAAGAGCAGTTTTGTTGTCAAGTTTTAACATTTTACCCTCAAAGACCCTGAAGGACAGATTAAGGGCTCATTGACACTTCCTCTTGTCCTGTACCTCGAATATTATGTTCTGCACAACATTATGCGCTGCACAATTAGACTCCCTCGTCTCATGTAAAAATGAGAGTTCGTTATTAGCTGGCCTGCATAGCTCAGTATCTTTTGTTGAGAGCTGAAATTGGAATGGAATGAAATCTAGCTTCACGTATGTGAAGAGAAAGGAGGCTGTAAATTTGAAGGGAGTTCTTAGTCTCTGGAGAGCGAACTGGAATTAATTATTCTAGCGCACTAATTTTTATTAAAGTTAAGATCTTTTTATGTACCTTCTTCAATTCTGGAGAAGTGAAGGGCCCAATATGATAAGCCCACAATTTTCTCAGGGGTGTAATGCTCAGTTGATCCTTATGCCCTCGTTTCCAATGGCCCATTAAAAGGCCATTCGAGAAGGGGGAGGGGTGGAATCATTTTTGTCCAGAGTTTAATGGAATACATTTTCCTCTGTTGTGAACAAACTGCCCTCTGGCACAAGAACCTCAAAAATATTTGGCAACAGCCCTTCTGAAACCCATCTGTTTTTGAAATTAATTTCTTGGTAATGGATACATTATATTTACATATTTGGTTTTTATTTCTCAGTATCTAATTTAGGGAGGGAATAGTCTCTTAGGTAATTCATATAAAGCTCTTGACAGAGCCTTATATTTTTTTTAAAAAAACAGAGCAATCTAGAAGGCATGCTAGTCTGTGTTAGACCTTTAGCACTAGAAATCTTTCAGCTGAAGGTCAGCATTCAACCAACCAACCAACCAACCAACCAACTTCTGTTATCAAACACTGCTGGGGATCCTGGAAAGCTGTCACTGTCATTAAACCCCTGCCC